CAAAATACAGCTTATAAACAATACAACTTACAGCAACAAAGGCATACTATATAAAAAAAGTTGTCAAATACAAATACAAGAAACTTACAGTATCTGTTAACAAAGAGGTTACAAAAATCCTCGAAATGGTTCCTAGTAAATAATGTGGCCAAAATATTTATGGATATCCTTTTGTGAAAAATAAAATTTAATCTTTACTATAAAATCATAATAGATTATAAAATCAAACTGTCATACGTCAAAACAAACATTTTTAAAACAGGATAAAATTATGACCATGACAGTTTAAACCAGGCCCTAACATAATATAATTACAAATATTTTTTTTTATTAAATAATTTATAAAAGAAAGCAAATTTTGTCTTTTTAAAAGAAAATGTCTATTTTTACTTTAAAAATTAATAACGTAAATGTTACCTCAGTTCACACATGTTAACTTAAACTTTTGAACAACTGGCTAATAGGTACTGTGGGGTATCTAACTGAACATCATCAACGGAAAGCTTTCTTGGAGGGAAGCTGGCACACTGGCACATCCAAATCAAAACTGCTCCAATATCATTCTACGTGAGGTGAAGAGGGCATCTTGGAAAGGAACTGGATTTCTCAAAAAAATGAAAAAACAGAAGCAGGAACTAAACTTGTTCACTTCTCAAACATTATAAATCTTCAGCCAAAATCAAAAACAGTGGTTAGTGGTCACTCTTTCAAATACGACATATTACATAGAGTGAAAATTCGACCATTTTCGCGAATGAATGCCGGCTTACCACATCACAATTAAACGACCTTTCGCTTCGAGCAATTCTTCATCACTGCCTCACTTGACCTTGATCTCAATCTGCCGAGATAGATACCGCCTCTCTTTTCCCCGCACACATTGCCATCTTGTCAAATCAACAAATTCTTTACTCAAACTCGTCAAACTTCGCGTTACTACGCTTTAGAAAAAAGAATACCAGGCTTGCAATATTTTTTCTGGAACGTTGAAGTTAAAAAGCCATAAATTGTTTTCTCTTAGCAAATACGTCTTTATTTATTGAAGAATTATTGCGTATTTAAAAATCTCTACAGACAACACATTTCTAGCAGTACCAGGGGCGTACTATGACAAATATAGAATCGAATTTATATTATTATTTAGACATTAAATATAAAATACTACAACATCTTGGTTAAAGAACCTTAGAATATGGTTCAATACAACATCTGTGCAGCTTTTACGCGCTGTTGCAGATAAGATAAATATTGCCATGATGATCCTCAACATTCGTAACGGATAGGCACATCAAGAAGAACAAGAAGTTGTTGAGGTAAAAAATTATAATAGACTGCGCTTCAAACTAATCTTGAAGCTATACTTATATCAGAGAACTACGAACGCAGAGAAGCGACACTCCTTTGATCTTGCGTGGGCAAGCCGCCAACGAGTGAAACTGACAGAAAAGCACCTTATTTTTTAATAGTCAGTGGGCATATTACACAATATAAATTCTAAATAAATTGATCATTTTAATGTTGACTTTCAATAAATATGAAATATTGCACTGAAAAAATAATGTACATGCAGGGCCGGCTTTTGTTGAGATTCTAAATGGTGTAATTATTTTTTGATTTACAAAAGGTTTGCAAATACATCGCACACAACGCAAAGTAAATGATGAAAAAACGTATTGATGGAACCATAGATGAAAATACTTTTTTTGTTTATTCCTTATGTTGACGTATGATAATACAATAATACACCGCATTCTTTTTGGCTTGTGTTGATACAAGATATAATTTGTTCGTCGTGGAATTTCCTAATAAATTATCTTTATCCTACATAACCTAAAAAAATAATCAAAAAAGTATTACGAATCATTACACAGAGAGCATTAGGAAGATAAAACGAATTTATATTATTGTCATTACACATGATTCGGATATACATAGTAAATCCAGACTTTCAGTTTAAACTAATATATGGATACATTTATTTGTTTACAATAGATTCCAGAGTTAATCACATACGATTTTTAGTTGATTGGTATTGCCTTTAAAATTATTTGTAGTATCTAGTTTGCCTAAGCCGGATTTGTAACAATTATTTCTGGTTTATGTTGTTAACTGCGGTTAGTACAAATCTTATACTTGAAGTCAAAACGACGAACCATTGAACCTTCAGGCCAGATACTGGATTGAGAACTTCATTTTTATAATCCAATGGATATGAAACTTTAAAGTTTGCTTGGTACTCCGTAACCTTTAACTTCTTGAAGTAAAAATGTATATTTGGAGCATTTACCTTTAAATTATTGGTCAAATCTTCCGTTGTCTGTTGTGGAATTATATAACGGTGTAAATAAATAATGATTGATTGGAGTAAGATTTATGTCTGTTTACTCTTAATATTGGCTATGGGCATATGTGCTTGGTTGTAAATATAGTAATTGTCATCCAGTTCTAGTCTGTTAAAATGTAACTAACTTTCGCAATAAAATAATTACTAAAATACTAGATAGTTGTGTCTGAGATTAGCGAATCGACTATACATACACTACATATATTCAGTATCATTGTATATCCAAGATGGACGCCGCTACACAATAGCGGATTACTTATTTTTTCACAACTACTTCAATATGGGTATCAAATGAAAGGGTTTGACTAGCAGAAAAGAGTTTTTTGTATTTATAAATAATACTTCATTACTTACAACTATAAGAGTATTAGTATATTCTAAGTGTATTGTAAGTAATGAAGTATTTAACTTTTGTCAATATCTCATCTTAATAAATTTACAGTTTTCTCCTAATTAAGTCTCAAAATTGTCACTAAATATTGAGATATACAATAAATAAAGTTTTAATATTTTTTATTTGTAATTCCCATTTAAATATTTATTCCCTAAATATGTTATGTACTCCGATCCACATATTTGATCTTTGTTATTTATATTTAACGAATTAAACATTGACAGACAACTTTTGTATATAGCAAAAAGTAAAATGAGCATTTAGTTTTTTCATAATTTAATGTAAGTTTGTTTGGTGAAAAAGACAGCAAATATTTGAAGTTATGTTAATGTAAGTTTGTTTATTTGCAATCATGTTTTTATTTTGAAGTCTTGTTGTGTTATAATTTTAAGATTTTCCCAATTTTCGATCTAATTATGTTTCCAACAATTTTTAGTTTGAGCATTTTAGGAATTTTTTTGTTTCGTTTAAATCAAATATTCTCGTGTATAAAACCCTCTATATATTTTTATTTCCTAAAAATACTATATTCGTATTGTTGTCTGCGAGCGCTTTCACACCAGTAGGCCAACATCTGTGTTGATTTTTTGACCTGAGCCTTCGGAGACAATAAATTTAATGTGTGTTCGTAGTTCTCTTGGTTTTTATTCTGAACTATCCCTTGGCAAACCAAAATTTATTTTTTTATTGCTTCACTTAACGAGAGCTCGGGCGGACACGTCGGTGTCGGCTTACTCAAAGTCAAATTAATACTATTATGTAATAACTAATAATAATTACAAAGCAATAGTAATTACCTGTTATTATTCTTAGGAAATCTAAATAAACTTATTCCTTTTCCTGTCACAGATGAACATCCGCGAAACGCACAACAATAACCAGAAGACATTTTAAATACTTATAAATTAAACTTTTAACTATAAACTATAACTATAAACTACCGGAGAATACTCAAAATTTCATGGACATCGCATACCTCAAACGAAGAAGTGCTGCATAGAATAGGCAAGGAAAGAGAACTTTTTAACACAGTAAAAGTAAGAAAAACATCATACCTAGGCCACATACTGAGAAATAATAAGTACCAATATGCCAACTTATAGTGAAAGGAAAAATCGAGGGAAAGAGAGGCCTAGGAAGGAAAAGACTATCATGGCTCAGAAACATCCGACAATGGACAGGGCTAAAATTTTGAACAGCTAATAAGAACAGCTGAAGATAGAGAAGAGTTTAAAATTGTAGTAGCCAACCTCCATTGAGGAGAGGGCACTTTAAGAAGAAGAAGAAGAAGATAACTATAAACTATAACTATAAACTTATATATTTAACTTATATATTTTAACTATAACTATAAACTATAAACTATAAACTTTTAACTACTAAATAATTAGATAAATGGTCAAATGCACTTGTATAGTCGAGAGTTTACCACAGATGCCTACGGACTATCGTAAGCAACTTAAAATTGAAGAAAACGCACGTGTTTTTGACAGTAAAGCACCTTATTTGGGTCATGCGTATACAGAAAAGATACACGAATTCCGGGTCTCGTGTCGCTTCTCTGTGTTCGTATGTTCTCTGCTTATATTCTCACTAAAATAAAATACCATAAGGAATCTACGTTCCTGTAGTTGGCTGTATACCATAATTAAAAAAATTATTAAAAATCCTTTGTAACAGGTATATATTAAGTTACAATCTATGTAATTTAGCTTTCCATAATGGTTACAAATCTCCTTCTTCAAGATTTTCAGTTGAAAGTTGTTCTTTAAGTTGATTCGAACATTTTCTGGTATTTTTATCGTACAAAAACTAGGGATGAACCATATATCCAGCTTCAAAGTACATCTTTTAGTGGCTAAGCGCATAATATATACCCTTTACAAAGGATTTTTAATAATTTTTTTAAAATAAAATACTACGATTCATCAAATAAGTGTATTGCCCAAATAAGACTGTTGAAAGCTGACAAATATAATTTGAACTGAGAAAATGATTGCAGGCATTTTCTTAATAAAATATTGGGGAATAGTTTGCAGGAAGTTGAACATATTTGTTCAACTGTTGAACTGTTTAATATTATTAATGGACATGTTTTACAATTATAGACGGTGAAACTATAAAAATTCAGAAAATTAAGATTAATGTGAGATTAGAAATAAATAGATTAATCTGTGATTGAACATCCCCTATTAGACATCTATAAATTGTTTCGAACAAAATAAATATTTATATTTATCCAATAATATTTCTTTATTACAGGTCTAAACCATTATGTATGCTGATGACGTTGAAAACGTAGATCACGTAATTCTATCTAGAATTAGCCTCAAAGAAATATCTACGGTAAGTGACGATGACCCTTTGGATAGAGCACCGAGAAAGAGTATTTTAACTAACGACGAACGAAAATGGAGGCTTTCTTATTTAAGGGTGAGTAGAATTGTTTATTTGATATGTACAATACTTGCATTGAAATTATTTGTCTTCAATATTTACAAAATAAAGATATAATAGCAAAAATGTTAATTTACCAAAACAATTGAGTTGACAGTAGAGTTTCTCTAGGTACCGTCATACGTTGGAATATATGGTAACGAAAAGGCAGATAGTCTAGCTAGTTTCGCTGTAACCACTACAGCCGCATCAGTGGAAAATTTAACATTGAGTGCATTTTGCACGATGCTTGGCAAAACCAATGAAATAAAAGCACCACTAAATTGATAAAAATAAAATCTTCCGTCCTTCCATGGAACTTCTGGCCTTCAAAGCGACAATCAAGTGCTAATAACACGTCTCAGATTAGGACATACTTATACAACATATGAGTACTTGTTAAAGAGAGAAGAGGAACTAGTGTGTTTTGTTTGTGAATGTAAAGTGACAGTGAAGCACATTTTGATTCTGATTCTTGATACTTTGGTTTTGTCTGATATTAGTCAGTCTCTTCTACATATTTTCTTTATATTATTATTAATTTATTGTTATCCTTGTTATCAACACCTTTACCTTAAAGAATGTCTTGTGGACATTCGTTAATGTCTTTAATATCGAGTGTATCGTGGCGTATCCTGACGAATGTCTGAAAAAATAGCCTGAGGTCTGATAATAAATCGAATTCATAGCTATGAAAAAACAAAAAAAAACACGAGTTAATAACAGTTAATAATACAAAAAAAAACGAAAATTAATTGGGCATACACTAAAGAACTATCAAGCTACCATACCCGGTCACCAACAAGAGTACCGATTGTGCTTAAAAAAAGAGATAATGAGAAAAACTAGTCAATAGCTTACGCAAGAACACGATATGAAATAATCAGGTAAAATTGGACAGAAACAGAGACGTTTTGGAGATTTTTAATACCAGCAATTTCATTCAGAAACAAGCTTTTCTAACATACAAAGGAGTGAAGACTCCGGAGGCACGAGAAGACTACGTGAAAATCAGGAATAGAGTAAACCAAGAAATAGATATCATCAAAAAAAAAACACTGAGAGAAATTTTCCAAAGATATGGAAAACGAATTCTATTGATCCCAGAAAAAGGTGTGGAAGATGATAAGGAGACAAAAAACAGAAATGAATGAATTTGTACGTATAGATAACATTACGGAAGAACAATGGACTGAGCATTTAACGAAATTATATTGAAAAGGAGAGGAAGAGAACAGAGAAATAATCATTAACGAAACCCACGATAGAGTACTAATATCAGAAGAAGAGATACATGAACGAATAGAAAAATTAAAAAACAGAAAAGCCCCTGGTCCTGATAAGATAAACAATGAACTGATAAAATATGGAGGAACAACACTACGCAAATGGTTCCTAAAATTATTCGTGGATACAATAAATACCAGATTAGTACCAGCGGAATGGAGGGGAAGTCTCGTACTACCAATACTTAAAAAGGGAGATTCAAGAAATCCTGAAAATTATAAAGGCATTAGTCTGATGAATAGTAGATTAAACTTGTTAAAGGCAGTCATAAAAGATAAAATCGAGGAAAAAGCGAACATGGCAGATGAACAACAAGGCTTCCGGAAGAACCTCAGTACAATAGACGCAATTTTTATTATCAGACAAATAATAGAGAAGTCTATTGAATATAATAAAATGTGCTTTGTAGATTTAAAAAGCGCTTTTGACAGGGTGAAGCGGAATGACATTTTAAATTTATTACAAGCTGAATAAATAGACCATCAGATAATCAAAAGGACAATTAATGAAATTAACAAAAACAACAAGACCAGAGTTATAATGCCAGTAGGAGAAACATAATTCATAGCTCTGAAAGAAATCAAATAATTTACGAAGAAAGAAAACGACACGAATACCATATTGGAGCACATAAAACACGATACTATGCTATGCCGATGATGCAGTACTAATTGCTGATAACGAAGATGACCTACAAAGGCAGATCCGCACCTTCAACATCACAGCAAACAAACTTAATATGAGAATATCAGTAGAAAAAACTAAATGTATAGTGATCAGTAGAAAGCCGCGTAGACGCAAATTAGAAATAGACGGCAAAATTGTAGAACAAGTGATGAAATTCAATTACCTTGGAGTAGAGATTACTAGTGACAGCGATATAAGAACAGATACCACAAGGCAAGCATCAAAAGCGGCAAGAGTAAGTGGTTGCCTCCGAGAAATCATATGGGAAACAAATATCTGACCACGGAAAGCAAAAACAAAGTATACAAGACAACAGTAAGCACAATCCTAACATATGCAGCGGAAACAAGGACCGATACAAGAAAGACGAAACAACAAATCAACAATATCGAAATAAAAGTATTAAGATCAATAGCGGACATATCATTGAGAGACAGACAAACCAACAGAGGTATACGTGGACGAATGCAAAATTCAAAATATTAACAGGTAAATAAAAACAAGAAAAAAAACTGGAACGAACATGTTAATCGAATGGGACCAGATAGATTAGCGAAGATCTGTAAAAACAACAAACCGTATAGCAGAAGACCCGTCGGAAGGCCGTTAAAAAGGTGGAAAGATAATGTAAAGTCAACAACGACTAAAACAGAATAAGAGGCAGACAAACAGGAATAATCCTAGTCGCACGAAGAAGACGAAGAAGAAGAAGAAGCAATTTGCTTCAACAATAGCAATACAATATCTTTGGAAATTAAACTGGGTCTTTAAAGTCTCAAAATTTAAATATGAATGAAAGTTGTTATTATTAACAATCTAAATTGGTTAATATAGTAATAACGATCTTTTAAAATCCACAGAAAAACTAAATTCCTGTTGCTGGCTGTATACCATGTATCACAAAAAATTTATTAACAATTATTAATATATACCTTTTATAAAGGAATTTTTAAATCAATTTTTTTAAAAAAACTTTTACTTGCGTAAACTCTCCTGCGTAAACTTTGACTCCGTTTCCCCAAATTTACTTCGTTATAATAGGGATTTAATAACAGAAAAAAATCTGTCTTATAAAAAAAAAACTAACTTTTCCATATGATGCATCTAAATATTTTTTTAATTTGTTTTAGAGTCAATTTAAATCCTACCAATTGCAAGATCTTTTTAGATTGTACACAAAAAAAGTGAATCATGGATATTTCTCATTATATTTAATACTGCAAACGCTTTTAACTATAACGCATATTTCGTTTGTATTGAGTAACAATGTGGTAAGTGATTAATAAATATAACCATTTTATTCATTACATATATCACCAATTATATTCATTACATATATCACCACACTATAGTTGAGGATATTGAGAGAAAACAGCTCATATGGTATGGGGCATGTGAGCCGAATGGGGGATGAAACATTGCCTAAAAAAACGATGATGTGGCAACCCCCAGAGACGAGGAAACAAGGAAGACTCCCACAGAGCTGGAACCTGGGAGTTAGGGAAAGCGATTAGCGCTCGAAATCTGGACGAACACCTAACTCAAGACAGAATACAGTGGCGTTTGGGAGTCGGACAACGTCGTAAGACGTTATGAAACCGAATTTATATATATATATATATATATTAATATTATATATATATATATAATATATATATATATATATATATATATATGTTCGGAAAGATTTCCGCGGTTAGTACAATAAAACCTAGAGCTAAGATTAATATTATTACTAAAATTAATATCAAACTCACCAGTCTTCCGGGTTGAACCGCGTCGTTGTCCATTTTGCCAAGCTTTCGGCATCCTCTCTGATGCCTTCCTCAGGGCTTCCGAGGTCTCAGTCTCCCGAGCCCCCAGACACTACTACACTGTTCACTATTCACGGCACTGTCACTGTCACTACTACAGTAGTAGGATTAGACATTATTCTATTATTATTCAGGTGAAAAAAATGTCCAATTTCAATTCACGTTTGCCTTATAGTTTTGAGTTACTTTAATTAAATGTGTCTTGCTACTATTGGGTTCCGTCTCCAGATATATTGAATACATCGAGTTACCGTGACCATCAGTATTCTTTTACTCCTGTAGAAGTTACTGGTAAAGGTAACAAAATATTGAGATGAATTCACATAGTAGTCCCAAAAATACATGCGTAAAACCCGGATGGCAATTAGATAATAAAAAGAGTTGGTATAAATATTGTTTTTGACATATAAATGATACATCTTGGGTATTTTTGTTTTTTGGGCTACCTCGGCATATAGAAAATGCTCCAAAAGCATTAACATATCATCAATAGTGTTGAAAACTCAAGAAACTTGCCTAGATAACGTGTACTAAATAGAGAAAAAGTCCAATACTCTAGTCGTCAGGGACGAAAATGTCACTGGACCTTTAAAAATCATACAAACAAGCTGAATTTTGCCGAGAATATTTATTTTAGGGCCCCAAAAGAAATGCAGTTTATCACTTTTTACCCCAGGGTTTTCCCCTAAAACCTCTTACGTAGAGGGGAGAAAACGAAAAAAAAAACGAATTACCTAGAAACTGTAAGTCCTATAAAATGCTTCAAAGCAAATAAAACTGTAGCTAAGATAATTTTGAACCAAAACCGTTCTTTTAGAAACAACGATGGAAATGATATAAAATTACTATTTCGGAGTGTCCTATCGACAAAAATTAAGATGCAATTTAAAAGTAAGGTGTGCAGCTTTCCTAGTAAATAAACGTGGCGCGATTTTTTACAATTTTTTAAGATTCACATGGGATCAATACAATGTATCCTTTCATTGACTGGCCACTATAAAGTTTCTGTAACTATCAGCTCATCTTTAAAACCTAAAGCAAGAAATTTAGTTTTGAGTTTTGGTAATAAATTTGACGATTACAAACGATCTAAAACGTTTAAACCTGCTCTTTTTTAATTACACTAGTACAACACTAGTACACTAAAAAACCATCTTTTTGGTGGCATTTCCCATAACATACGATCATTTGTACTGTAAAAGTTTAAGGTTCTGCGTTTTTAGTCATATTCAAATGCCTTATATTTGTTGCCAAAAATCAAAATCGTATTTTCATATTATAGGTTTTGAAGACTGGTGTCCATTAATGGAAATTTTACTACGACCAGTTAATGAAAATAATAAATTTTATTGATTCCACGAGTATCGTAATTGAACAGCTTCATGGAAACTGCCTTCTTTTGCGAAAAAATGTGTACCTGGATAAGTAAACCTCTACACGGACGATATCCCAATGAAGTCACTCAAGACTATGTCTACAGTACAGTATAGCGTCGAACTATTTGCTGAAATCAGAAAAGATGTTCCTAGAAATAGAAGGTTTAGTTGTTGCCATTCAGGATCAGGTTATACCAACAAAAACTTACTTTAAATATATTATCAAAGATCTTCAAGTCCAAAATGACAAATGTTAACATGAATAGCAAACACAAGAAACCATTCAACATCTTACTGGGGGCTACCAGACATTTCCTGCAACTAAATATAAGAAACGACATGATTCAGTTTGAAAAATCCTTTATCAAGAAGTAGATATCAAACTGGAACTTTTTCAAGCAAACCATCTCAGGCTATATTTAGACAACTTCAAACTATATATACCTTTATATACCAAGTTACATGAATGGTTTAACTTAACCACTATCTGACTTTTCAGGGCATCAGCCTCAGAATAGCCATGTTAGTGTCCAACATCCGTAACGGATAGGCACTATAAGAAGAAGAAGCTATATAGGGACCGCATTGTGCTCATAAATCAAATAGTAGCATACAATAGACTAGATCTGGTACTTGTTAATAAACTAAGGAAACAACACTAATTGACGTGGCGATAATTAGCAACAATATTCTGCGTGTTAAATACATCGAAAAGATCGCCAAGTACAAAGATCTAAAAATACAAATAAGGAGATAATAGAGAAAGAATATTACTCAGACGATAACGATTATTCTTTCTATTACTGGAGTCATTACAAGAACCTCCTAGAAAACATAAAAAACGGATCTGAATAAACATCTCTATAAGACCATGAAGGAAGCTGTACTACTTTCAAATTCCAGATGTTTACGAAAATTTTTGGGAAATACTCCAGCATACCGAGTCACCTAATCCTTTAACTTAATCCATTTGATACCGTAGGTATCTGGGATGAGTGAATTCTCCCTCTTCTAGAGAAAGTGTGAGCCGAATGACTAAATCTGGATAATTATTGAATCTTTTATTAAATTACTTGCTCATTTGATTAATAATTATTGCCTTTCTGCATTTGTTGGTATTCACAATATAATTTAAAATTGTATTTTTTTATGCCCTAAATGCGATACACAAAATATTGTTTTTATTAAAAAAATTATTTTTTTTCCAGGACGACCCTTTACCCGTCCTCCCAGATATTATTCTTTACATAAGTACGATATTATTATCTCTAATATGTTTGTATATAATAGACAGAGTGGCAGAGAAATACAACAAACTACAGTACGTAACCGTAGCAGCTTTTTGCTTTATATTTTTCGTCAATGGCTTCGTACCTTACTATTATGCCAAACACGAACGCTTCAGACCTGCTTACTCACCATACCTCATCATCGCCTGCTACCTATTCTTTGCCATAAATAATTTGACGATGGCAATTACGATGGGAGCGTCGGTATCTCTTTTTCATATTGCAACATTATATTTTGTGACTTACTCGAATTTAGACCACATGATTTGGAAAAAGGTAAGCTATTGCACATTAACGATTCCTAAGTATTTGTTTACGTAATTTTTCAGAAATTATAAATATTTATCAGGCAAATGTGGCACATATTGTCGGCTGTATGTAATAGTGGCACAACACAAAAACTAGTAGTTTTTCAAAACAGTGATTTAAAGTTTGTGTGCCAATAATTTTGTCTTATTTCTTTTACTACATGGATTGGGATTTTTGAAAAACAATAAATTTTGGTGAATTTGGGAGAGCATTAGGTAACCTTTAATGAACTGTAACAAAGACTCTTAAATTAAACCCTTATTTTAAGCTGTGACACTATTGCACATCAACATTTTGTCTTTCAAGACTAATTAAGGCAAAGACAAAACTGACATTTTTTTATTATTCCTATCAACTGAAATAAAAGTTCAATAAAGAATACCACAAGTTACTTGAATGAGGAAATGTGTTTTTTAACAACTATAAGAAGAACGGAATAAAAAAGAATAGTTTTACATTGACGGAACACTCTTGGAACACACTTGGTTCTTGGAACACACGGTTCTAATTTCACTACACAACTAAAAAGAGCTACAACAACATATCATAGCGATACTAGTGATGTCTAGCGGACATTTTTGCTATTTTTTATTGTGCCAGTTTTGCAGTTTCTAAATAAGGCCTTTTCAAGCCCTCTGGTGATATTAATTAATTTTGTCAATTTTTAAGTTAAGCCACTGTTGCATATAGCCGACGATAATATCACAATTTTATGGAAAATTAAAACAATTAGTGTTTTTTTGTATCTTATTTATAAAATGAATGAAATATCTTTTCAATTTATTAACTAATAACCCACTGATCCACATATCTCGCATCAATAACAAATATTGACGATTTCTTAATCACGGAAATATTTTTAGATAACCTCGGATGCCATATTTGCATTTTTTATGAATTGCTTAGGTATTTACTACAGATATATGAATGAAATTGTGATAAGAAGGAGCTTTCTGGACAGAAGGGATAGCATTATGTCGACATTTTTATTAAAACATGAAAAAAAGCAAGTGGTAAGTATTTATTTTCTTAGAAATTCAAGTTTGTAAAAAATTGTCTACATTTGTTATATTTTAGGACCATCTAATGCAGAGTATTATACCTGAATATGTGATAAACAAAGTAAAAGAAAGGTATATCGAGACAACAAGGCATTTTATAAAAACGGGACATGTTAGGCAAAATCCATTTGAGTAAGTATTAAACTGCAAAACATCCGTACTTCTTTTAGTTTGTAATTTAATATTTCTTTAGTAATTTGATTGAAGTTACTATTTGTAGATTATTTTCAGTTTTAATTTATCGGGTTGATACTTAATTCTTATTTCACAAGGATGCCCTTGTGATTACCCAGCTTTCCTATCATATTTTCTCTCGTGTTGTCTTTCCATTGTATATTCTGTTCTTGTTCAATTTTGTTATGAATATCTCGGTATTTCTCTAAACTTTTATTACACGTTTGGTAATTGAAATAATTCATTTATCCTAGTCAATGATTATCAACTAACACTTTTGTTCTCATTGGACGGCATTCAGTTTCAAATGTTATAATATCTTGTATAATTATTCTCGTATTGTAATTCTTATATACTAGATCATCGATTACAGACATCCTGTCTATCATGTCTATCATTAATTACTATTTATAACTGGGAATAAGCCACAATTAAAGATAAAAAATACGTTTATTGACGTTTCAATTTCCAATTCGGAAATCGAATTGGAAATTGAAACGTCAATAAACGTATTTTTTATCTTTAATTGTGGCTTATTCCCAGTTATAAATAGTAATTAATTTACAATGCCACAAGAAAATAGCTTCAGAACAATATGTCTATCATTGAGAAGAAAATTTTATATTATTTTTTATATAATATTTAATATTTTTTTAGTAATTCCCTACTTGACGAACATGAAAATGTATCGATTTTATTTGCCGATATAGTAAATTACACAGAAATGACTGGAACACTAAAAATAACTGAGTTGTTAGAGACGTTGAACGAACTTTTTGGACTATTCGATGATTGTTCCGATGTAGGTAAAAGCTTTGATATTTTTAATATACTAAACTATATATTTTCTCATACCATGAATAAGACAAAAGTTAATTATTATCTTTGTCTTTGTTTGTAAATATTTATGTTGGGTTATATCAATATAAAACTCATTATCAGATAATTTTTATTCAGATAGCAGTACTGAAGATGGAATATTTATTTCGAAAACGGTATAAATGTACCTTTTATGATGAATTTTTTAGTAAATAATTTTTATTTGAACCTTTATACTCATAACCCCTATGGCTCTTCTTGCCTTGTGTATACACTCAAGTGGAAAAAAATCTTATTAAAAATATTATTTGCTGAAAAAAGAAAACGTTTGTAGATATTAGTTTTAAATCAGATATATAAGTAAAAGTAAATGTTAGATTAAAATAATTTTTACAGATTATCCAAAAAAATCATTTATTTATAGAGACATATGCCAAAACTCAAAAATACAAGAATATTCAAAACTTTCTGAAATTAAAAAAAACATTGATAATAAATCAATATCTAGTGTTTCTCATTCGGGCCCTTATAACAGCCTGTACACGTCTAGGCATTGAGGTAATTAACCTCTGGATATCATATTGATCCAATTGGTCCCATATTTCTTAAAGAGCCGCTGTAAGTTCAGCCAAGTTATTGGGACGGGGTACTCGTGTTCGAAGACGTCTTCCCATAGATGTTCTATGGGATTGAGATCGGGACTGCAAGCTGGCCAGTTCATACAGACAATTCCCACCTCCTCTATATATTAGTTGACGATTATAGCATGGTGAGGACGCACGTTGTCGTCCATAAAAATAAAATTAGGTCCAATAAAAGGAGCAAAAGGTTCCACATGCTGATCTAAAATACTTGTTATGTATATTGCAGCAGTAATAGAACCTCTATCTACAATAACTAAATTAGTATGGGCTTCTAAACTAATACCAACCCAAACCATAACGGAGCCCCTCCGATAACTTATTCTTTCCGCAATATTACATTGAAAATATTGTTCTCTGTGTCTTCTCTAAATCCTTTCTCGGCCGTCTGGTGACCTTAGATAAAATCTGGACTCATCTGAGGACAATACATTGCTCCAATCTGCATTACCCCAGTTTTCATGTTCTCTTGTAAAAGCAAGGTGAGCTCTGCGATGTCCTATGGATAGTATTGGAGATCCTTCTGGATAATAAATTACCTTTTACAAGTCGTTGACGAACTGTCCATCTGCTTACATCCACATTTCTCACTTTGCTCAGACAATTTGCCAGTTCAACTAAAGTTAGATGCCAATTTCTCAAACATAATAAGCCCAGAAATCGATCATCTCCTTTGGATGTTACTCTTCTACGACCTAATCCTGGTCTTCTTGTGAAGTTACCGGTGACACTAAAATGCCGAACTGCTCTTTGAACCGAAGATCGACTAACGCCCAACATTTCAGCTGTATAATATTGGCTACAACCATCTTGAACTAAAGTCACCGCCCTTGCAGCACCTGCATTTGATGAGACATTTAGAAAGGATAATTAAATAAAAACAGGTATAACACATTTTGAAAATAAAATCACTACACTAGTATGGTTGTTGAAATAAAAACAACATTGAATAAATATCAATGCTTCAGACCCTTTTTGACAAAAACCTGAAATACCAATTTGTTTTAAGAAATATAAAAAGCAGTATTAAAATTTTTATATTATTTCTCGTATACTATTGATACACCTAAATTTACATACGTAATTTATTGTCTCTAAAATTATACAACTTCAAATAAATAAGAGATAAAGAATGGATCGATTTTTTTGCACCTGAGTGTATATTTAAAATATTTTTTTATGTTTTTTCATTTTAGTATTAGATTTAAACGGACTGTAGACATCTTAGCCTATTTAACAGACATATTTTAATATTTTTTAACAGTTTCGTATAGCGAAGATGTAAAATTTCTCCTTTTTCCTTTTTTATTACATCACATTCACTTACGGCTTACAGCTATATAGTTAGAAATTTTTTGACCAACTCTTTTCACTAGTTTTCTAACGTTTTGCTTTTTACCGCCTTCAGTTTTTTTTTTATTTTTATATTTAGTTGCTTTAGTGATACTGTAAGCATTTATTTCTCGATTGCTGCCTAATACCCTGCACCCTGGAAGAGTGCTAAAGCTAATACTATATTTACTATTAAATAAAATTTTAACGTCCTTAACGAAATCATCTAGCATAATACTTTTGTCTTTGTAGAAGCGGCAGGTAACGCGGATAAAATTTTTAGGTGACTGCTATTATTGCGTAGCTGGCCTTCCTCCAGAAGCTTCTCCGAATCCAGCTGAGTCCTGCGTTGATTTGGGATTAGATATGATCGCTATAATTGCATCAGTACGGTAAGATTTTTACATACAGTTTGGACAGATATTAGATTGGTGATAATAATTTTTTCATTGAAATTTTACGTCAAACAAATAAAACTAATAATTCATAACAAATATTACAAATTTTTAAAAGTTTGGCGAATGCGCCAGGAAATACTCACGTGCCTGCCATAATTTTTGATTTTTAATGAGTACTAAGAACATTTATGATTTTTTTTCTGACAATTTTTATATCAAAATATTCACAAATTGAGTAAAGAAGAAGAATTGTTCTTATTAGTATATGTGTATAAAGATCTTTATGTTTAAAGAAAGTATTAGGCACAGTCGATTTAACAAAACTAATGAACTACACTTTTAAGATTGTTCAATTTTAAATAAGTATATAAAATTAAATACAAACAGAAATTTTTAAAAGCTTGGCGAATGCGACAGGGCAAATTTATTTTTCTGCTTGCCATAATTTTTTAATAATAATAAAAAGAATTTAACTATCGCTAACGTTTTGTGTCCACAGTCATATCCACAGTTCAAAATTAAAATTTGTTTAAATGTTTTTTACGATTAATAATTTTACAGTTAAAATTTTTTTTCATGATTATCTCTTTGTGATATCTATTACAAATATTATTCGCTTGTACTAAATATGACCACGTTATTTGGTTATTTTATTGATATATTTATTGTAATTTCACTTTGTAATTGTAAGCTTTTTTGATTTGAAGCTTCAATCAAATTACTGAACTACTAATATTTTTTAAAATTGTGGTGAATGCGCCAGGTGAAATGAACATAAAGCTGTCTATAGCACAGCTATGCCAAAGAACAAATTTTACGCAGAGTGTGGTGGATCGAGGTTACACAACCAGAATCAGAAATATTAAATTGAGGGATATATTTGCTGACACAAACATTATATTTGCTTAACATTATTGCTGAGAATGTGCTATACTGTTAAATATTTATTTGTGGTAAATAATTAGTAACTCAATATTTGTTTCGCAGCATAATGCATTATAAAACACCGAGCAAAATAAAACTGCCCTTTTATAAACGTTTTGTAATATGCTGATTAATATACTAGTCGTACTATACAATATATTATTAAAACATCTTTTATATATTCTTCATAATGACATTTTTTAGGAAAAAGCGCAATCTCAACGTCAACATGCGGATTGGAGTTCACAGTGGAAAAATCCTTAGCGGAATCATAGGAACTGTCAAATATCAGTTTGACATATGGTCCAAAGATGTTGATATCGCCAATAAAATGGAAAGTGAAGGACGAGCAGGGTAAATAAATGAATTCTAGTCTATCTTAATAAAAATAAAAAAAAAGAACAGGGAATCAACATGAAATTTATATGTGATGAAATCAATATTAGATTATGGTTATGTATTTTTAAAGTTTCGTATATTATTGGTCTACTGCTGTTGTTTATGTATTCGTTAATGTTGTGATTCTCTCTATAAGTTCTTCTACTGTTAGGTGTTTAATTTCATATAAAATTTGTTCTTGTAAGTACCTTACTAAACTCATACAAGAAACGTCACCTATAGAAGAAGAGAAGTTTATTTATCTTATGGATTTGACTGTTTCTTATGGAAATTCACTTTATCTAATCATTAAAAATCTCTTCTACAAAATTTATTTATTTATTGTTACTACAGCTGTTTCGGTATAGTCCCATTCTCAAGTCTTCTTCTTTATCTTCTTCTAATGGCGATAAACCCTTTGTGAGTTTTGACCTGCTTAACAATGTTCTTCCATTCTGCCCTGTCGGATACTTTTCTTCGCCACTGACTGATGTTCATGGTTTTAAGATCCCTCCCTACGTCTATCCATCTTTTACGGGGCCTTTCTCTTGTCTTGGGGCTCTCATCTCTGGACTACTTTTACAGCTCGATTATCTGGTATTCTTTATAGGTGACCAAGCCAGTTTAGTCTTTGTGACTTTACAAATCTAACAATATCTGCGCTCTGCATTAGTTCATCCAGCACGTGTTTCATTTTAATTCTCCACAAACTATCGCTGCATTGGGTTGGTCCAAATATCTTTCTTAGTATTTTGCGTTCAAATATTCTCAGTTAATTATCATCAGTAATTGAGAGGGTCTACGTTTTACATCGATATGTGACCACTGGTCTAATTACTGTTTTGTAGATTCTAAGCTTAGACTCACCATTCAGTAACTTACTATTCATTAAGTTTTTGTATGTATAAAAGTATCATCTTATTACTGCTAAGAATCCGTGCTTGTATTTCTTAACTTATGCTGTTGTTGTCATTTATTATTGAGCCTACGTAGGAAAAAGTGGAGACATATGTTTGTAGTGGAGACATATGGTTGAATACCTTCAGATTCTCATCACAAGGGCACAAGAGAGATCTGAATGAAAGGACATAGCCAGACAGGCAAAGACCCATCCAGGGTTATGATGCCAAAAGAAGAAGAAGAACTTATTGGGTATCCCTAACATAAATAGTTGCTTTAACATCTTTTGTCGATCTACTCCATCAAACGGCTGTTTGAAATCGATATACAACTTATAAATAGGTATGGTATATCCAACACATTTTTCATGTATACCTCTTAACATACGTATTTGGTCTATAGTTGACTTCGATTTTTTCGTGCCTGCAGCATGGTTTGGACATTCCAGGTTGCCAGTCGCAAATCCATCATTAAGTCCTTATTACGTAGTTTTGGACGTTGTCCGTTGGTCCGTCCGGTTAGTTCATTATTCGTAGCATTCATGATAGTTGAGTTTAAGATGAATAGGTTATCGAGCTATTGCACCCGAGTCCAGTATCAGGGATGCTGGCTATAGCTTCTGAACAAACTATGCTTTCTCCCTTACCAATTTATGTTACCCAATCCCCAATAGGGTTGCTCAGGTTTACCGAGGTTTACCCATGTAATCAAGGTCACAGGTGGATAGCTATTCCTACACTCACTGGAGGTGAGTATGGGAATTGAGTAGAAGAGGCTAGAAATGTTATCTAAAAGCAACACCTTGTTTTGCGCCTCACTTCTTGTTTGAACCCCCCCGTTCTCAAGTGATATAAACAATAAAAAGAAAAGAATGACACCAGCTTCCAGAACAAACAACAACTTAGGCAAATATATTAAGAATAATATCCAGAAGAAACAGCACTTACACAGTGATGTATACAAACTTAAATGTAGTGACTGCATAAAAACTTACATCGGTCAAACTAGTAGAACTTTTAACAAACGGATAGCAGAACACAAAAAGGCTTTCTATAATAGAAAAACAGATTTTACGTAGAATTTCACCATCTAGACTATAATCTTGCTTTTAACGACCAATTTTAAATTCTTCACATCTAAAATAAACGCCTCAAGCTATTCTTATTAGAATCTGGGCAATGGACGTCTTTAATTAAGTAAAAAACTCGAAGTTTTTATAAAAATTGACACTTTTCAGGATGGTTCATATCACCAACAAAACAAAGGACTTACTAACAAAAAACTATTTAATTGAGGCAACTGACAAAGGGGAGACTGTACCACAGTTTAAAAATTACGGGCTTTCAACATTTTTAATTAGACCTAACGTAAGTACTGTTTTTAAAATTAGGGTTTTTTATTAGTTTATTAACAAAAGAAATAATAGAAAATATAAAAATACTTTTAAATAAATAAATATTTGTTTTTTATCTATAATTTCATCAAACACTTATTACTATTTAGATTTAAGAATCTGATTTGCAAAACTTGCTAGAATCTTAATAATTCTAATACAATTACAGATAGAAAAGGAATCACTTCCATCACCGACATCAGAGAGCTGTCCTAGCAGTCCAACTACAAGACTGTCCATCTTTAAGAAACAACGATCGTATCCAGGCAACTTAAGTCTATTACAGCAACTACAAAGAGTCCCTTCTGTGATAGATGAAGATTCGTCGAAAAATAGTGTTAAAATTTTTATAGACGATCAGAAATATCGCAACAGTGAGGAGAGAATATTCAGAAAGAGCAAAATGCAAAATCAAAGAGCTAGCGATAGTAGGAGAAGTACGAATACTTTGAAAAGAAGGACTGCGTTCATGAATAATAATATTAAGAGGTATAATGAGAGGACGAATGATGTGAATGAGGAGATGGGAAAATCGATAAATTTGATTTCGTTTTCAAAATATCAGTAAGTTTATTCTTTATTCATATTAAGATCTATAATAAAGTTAAGTTCAATAACTATTAACTCCTAGTAATATTATTACCAATAACTAACTATAAGTCTAGACACTTACTTTCTAAATGGTAAGCTGGGAGGAGGTAATATAGGAGAAGGTAATATATAGGTAATATAATATTAAGTTGTATGGAGTTTTCCAATAATTTACTTCTAACTTGTTGCGGTTTTTCCAGGCGTTTAAAAAATTCATCACTGCTTTTGACAATCATTTACTTCAATCTTTCTGTCATTAAGTCCCTGTAAATATATGCATTTAGCATAAATCACTGCATATCAGTGATTGAGATTGAAATCGCTCTACTAATGATATGTTGCTATTTTCTGCAGTTCCTTATAGTTCAATACCGTACGTACAGATTGGCCTGATGATTGCTGTATATACTAATATTTACTTGGATAATGATAATGTGGATTTATGGCAAAAGGGAAAATAGCCAAAATAAAAAATGGAATCTTGAATGATTTAAAAGTTCAACAAAGACACAAGAATATAAAGCCAAAAGGCAAAGAAATGTGGAATGGTATGATGATAAATGCAGAACTACAGTATACAAAAAAAGACAAGCAAGGCTTAAACAACTTCAAAGAAATGCAAGATAGCAGAGAAATTTATAACGAGAAGAGAATACAAGGGACTAGAATATGCAGAAGAAAAAAAGGAAGGCTTAAAAAAAAACAAGTTCAAGAAATCCTAAAACATAACAACAGACACGAGAGCCAAAATTTCTATAAAAGAATAAAAAAAAAGCATAGTCATTTAGACCAAAATGAACAATATGCAAAGACAAGGATGGAGAACTACTAACCGAGAAACAAAAAATTATAATGAGATGGAAAGAATACTTAAGAGAAAACCTAAATGCAGACAATGGAAATGACCAACAAGAGACAATATATTTTAAGGCGAAGCAGCACATTGAAAATCTAAATTATGAAGAATTAGTTCAAATAATAAAGAAACTGAAGCACAAAAAAATCTTACAAAAACTAAGTACATAACCATCAAAAGAACACCTGAGGATAAAAGTAATATAGCAATAGACAACTATACTATTGCACGTGCGGACCGCGCAAGAGTTGTACGAGGTAATTGCGTGTGAAGGAACCTACGCTTGTTCATTTGATGGCTTAGATCAACCAAAAATATGTGCAGAGTCTCTTCTATTTATGATGGCTCTTGGATTGAGAGGAACTCAATGACATGAATATTTTACTCAGCGATGTCGGAAAGACAGCACCAATTGAGATTTTGGTTGGAGCTGATATTGTAGGCAAATTGTATTCAGGGAGGAAATATCAGTTACAGTGTGGTCTTGTTGCAGTTGAAACTTAGTTAGGTTGGACTCTTATGGGCAAAGTGCCGGCAGTTGCTTCTAATTTTAGTACAAGTATTAATACATTTTCGTTGTTTGTTAATAATTCTTCTGTAGCGAAACTCTGGGAGCTTAATATTATTGAGATAACCAACCCTGTAGAAAAAATGACACGAGAGGTGGTGGCCAAAGAGGCTAAGAATTTTTTCTATGAGACTGTACGATGTGACAGCGAAGGCAGGTATAAAAGTTATGTTACTTTGGTTAAACGAGCATCCAGTAGAATGTCTACTTTATTAGTGGTGAAAAATATTTCAATTTCTTGTGTACGTTTTAGAAGTCCGTTTGCGTTCCGTTTGGCAATTCTAATTAGTTATAATGCCATTAAGTATTTTAAGTAATGAGTTCTCTTAACTGTTGTATTTCCAGTGTCAATAGATTGTTGTTGTTGTTTTTTTATGGCTTTCTGTAGAGATGATTGTAATAAAGTAAAATTGAGAGGGTACGTCTTTTTATTGTGGTTGGTGTCACTGATTGGGCGGGCAATTAAGGAATGTTGTTGCTTTATGGGATGGAAGCATGGACACTTAACGCGTCGACTACAAAAAATTGGAAGCATTTGAAATGTGGGTGTATAGAAGAATCCTGAAGATATCATGGACCAAGTATGTAACAAACAACGAAGTTATGAGAAGAATCAATAAAAGAAAGGAAGTATTGGAAACCATAAAGACACGAAAGCTGCAATACCTAGGGCATGTTATGCGTAATGATAGATACAACCTACTTCAATTGATTATACAAGGGAAAATCCAGGGCTAAAGAAGTGTAGGAATAAGAAGAATCTCATAGTTGCGTAACTTAAGGGAATGGTAACGGATGCACATCAGTTGAACTATTCAGAGCAGCAGCATCTAAGATCAAAATAGCCATGATGATTGCTAGTCTCCGTTGCGGAGATGGCACGTGAAGAAGAGAAAAAAATTTATTTTTAAAGTTATCATAAATAAATTTTTTAATACGAATATCTTCTTCAGCCTGTGTTCGTCCACTGCTGGACATAGGCCTCTTCCATTTGCTTTCATCGATTTCTACTTTTGGCAATTCTCATCCACTGCTTGCCCGCGACTTGTTTGATATCGTCTGTGCACCTCTTCTGCGGTCTGCCTACTCCTCGCCTGTTTCTTGGTCTCCAGTTTGTTAATCTTTGTGTCCATTTTTCGGGATTATCTTGGGCAACGTGTCCGACCCATTGCCACTTGAGCCTTGCAATACGTTCTGAGACATCAGTAATTTTTGTTCTTTCACGAATGACGTTATTTCGAATCCTGTCTCTCAAACTAATCCCTAGCATGGCCCTCTCCATTGCTCTTTGGGTTGTACTAAGCTGCTCTAAGGTTTTCAATACGAATATAATGTCCTTTAAATAGCCATTGTGGCTTCGTTGAATGGCTCTTATCCAAAATATCCGATTTTCCATTAACTTTCATCTAGAAATTTTATTTTTAAATATCTATATTCGGTAAATTCTGTTAAAATTTTCAACACCCTTTTGAAATTTCCCGACCGTCAATATTTTATTGACTATAACTGAAATTTTCCAATAGTATCGACTGAACTATCTTTATATATATATATATATATATATATATATATATATATATATATATATATATATATATAGATATATATATATATATATATATATATATATATATATATATATATAGATATAGATATATATATATATATATATATATATATATAAATATATATATATATATATAGATATATATATATATATATATATATATATATATATATATATATATATATATTGTTATGCTATTTAAATTGTATTGTAACGTTCCAACGAACATTCATTGGACGTCAATCTATGACGTGCCAACAAATATTCATTGGGTGCCAATTTGTAACCCTTCGAGGCTCAATTTGTAACATCCCAACGTTGAGCTGCTGTTGTCAACCTGTAACCGCAAACCTTAGTTTGCTGCTACAACCTGACTAACATCACTAACAACGTTGGAGTGACAAATCGTTTCCGTTGGGACCAATTTTTAACGTCATAACCCCTAATGTATCAATTACAAAATTGCTACATTAGACGTTATACGAAACACTCCCTGGCTAGCTCACTCAGGACGTGAATATGGCCTACTCTGGAGCAACATACACAAACAAGTAAAAAGAAGAAACAATACACAGTTAAATTAACACATGTTTATTGAAATATAAAAAAAAACAGAAAAATAAATGTTAAATATCGTATTGAATTTAAATAAAAATTATTCGACTTCTTGCTACAGTGTTACATTAGGTATATGAAAGAAGAATTTTTGTCACCAAATCCTAAGTTTTTTCCTGGTCTTTTCTGCTCTGGTTGTTAGCAAGCCATGTTGGTAGTGGTGGATTTTCTTGCTCCGGAGTCAACTCTCCTATTGGAATAATGGTTCCATTCTCAGGCCGGTTGGTCTTCTGGATGGTAATAGAATTTGACCCGCACCTGAGAAATGTATCCCGGAGGTTGACTAAAATTAAGAAAAACACACCTTGCTTTAGAAAATGGTGAAACCAAAATGAGAGACCTTGCTTGGGGGATGAATAAGGTGACCAATCAAATTTAACAAAATTTTATCATTATTCACCCAAGCAAGTCGAGAAACAATTCTTATTTATGCACTTATCATAGGCAAATAAGTAAAAGTAAGGATATAAATAACTTTAATGCAAATGGTAATTACTTTTTTAAAACTGAAATATTCTAATATTAATTAAAAAAAAATGACAAGATATATTTATTAAAAGCTAGATAATTTAGATAAACATTGCTATATAGAAATGGTAGTTTGTCAAAAGTTAATTATTATTAAAATCAAAAGATATTATGGATTTAAAATTCATATTTAAAACTATAAAAATATTCGTAAAACTTTTACACACTATATTAAAGAAACTATATATTTCTTATCGCTAGTTTTTTATATTAAATAAAAAACAAGAAATCCAACAAATATGTACCTACTTACATGTCATTCACAAATAATGAGCTTAGAACTTTTAAAGTTAAAATTATAAAAAGATTTTTATACAACAGGTGGAATTAGGAAATCGATAAAATATATTATACACTTACCTCCAAATCTGGAGACGACACAACAATTGGTTATTCTATTCTTAGAGAAGTCATGAAGAAAATCGACATTTTTAGAAAATAGAAGTCTTTATATCGACTTTTGTATCGAATGGGAAGGAGAAATGTCGACAGAGAATAAAGATGGGACCTCTCGTTCCAAAGTAACGGAAATAGAGATGAAAATAAAATTCACTCTTTAGAAACTTGAGTAAAAGATAAAAATGATGATTATTAAGAAAATAGGAAAGGTAGATACTAAAATATATATATATAAAGAAGATAGATTTGGACGCCAACTGGTTTTTATACCAAATACCAGTAAAAATGAAAAGAGAATAATGAATCAATTAAGTAACGACATAATTCTGATACAATCTATATCCTAGAAAATATATAGAAAAATAAGAGATACAATGGAGGATATAGAAGAATATGAATTATGACAGAAGATACGGAAATGGAGAATAGAATTAACGAAA